GTTCATGTTTGTTTTGTGTTTGTTGTAAAAATAAAAAAAACATTATAAAAAAAAAAAAATAGTTTGGGATATCATTCTTTAGGAGGGTCTCAAAACTACTTTATAATTGTTAAGGCAATCATAATTATCTAGGATATTAATAACTTCCTGGATACAATTACATTAACTTTCTCTTATTAAATGCAACAAACCAGAGAGACAAAGAAAAGTTGAGTCAAACAGGGCATATTCTCAAAAGAGTTAAATTTTTAAGCTTCAGCAATCAGACTTCTCTGCATGCATCACCCAGAGATGAAATGAATCTATACAAATTTAGTCTCAAAAAGATTAGCAAACAAGAATGTTCACGGTCCAATAATCTACCAGGTTCATCTGTCTACAGAGCAACCCTACTTATGTAAAAGCACTGTTAACTTATATTATAAACAGGTAGCATAAATCACTAACAAGGTGCAGTGCCAAAGCTGATAATCTTGCAAAGGATGACACCAACTTGGAAAAAGCAAACACTATGTACAAAGGATAGGCAATACTGCAAATGGCATGAGAAAAGGGGAGCCAAACTTACAGAACCCAAGCTTTGACTTCTAATCCTTTCATGTAAATTTAAATGTACAAAACAAAGGAATGTTATAATGAACTGTGAAATTAAACAGATAGTACTTACGGTTATTGGCACATCTTTTGTTCCTGAATTTAACAAATGCAGATTTAAAATTTTTGGCAGATCTGTTAAGACATACATAGGGCATTGTAAGTACTATAGTACCCAAAACCAGAACTTGTTAACCAATTTTAGCTATAACGTATTTACTCTGGATTTCCAATGTTAAATATGTATTTAACTGTCCTAATTAAAAAACTGTAATCTTTAATAGGTAAACAGATTATTTTAAATGTTCTTTTTTTCCTTTAATATAGTCATTAATATTGACTAAGGGGCATAACCACAGGTTGAAAAGTCAAATGCAAATCCCTCTCCCATATATTTAAACAGGAAATTATAAAAAACTGAAAGCTTCCTGGAAGTCAATTATATAAGCCTTCAAATCTTTTAAAAACTCTGCAAACAGTACAGCACTGCTAACTAACAGTAATGAAGTGCAGCTATCCTGAGGCTTTAACTCACAATAACTCCTGGAAGTTATCGGCGATATGTTTAAATATATAAATATCAAATATAGTGCACCAGCAGTCAAGTGCATTTGTATCATCATCATCATCATCATCATCATCATCATCATCATCATCATCATCACCATCATCATTTTGTTCTGGATATAATATAATAATCTTAGCTTCACTTATTTTATTTTACTTTGTACCACAAAAACACGCATAATTAAGTAAACCATATATATTTGAAGATGATTATTACATATAAAATCTAAAGAACAGAACAAAAATAATGCATTTATTCTATAGTGATATCTCAGGTTAATCAATAGGAAATTACAGCATATTCCATTAATTCCATTCTTTCTAGACTGCATGAGAGGGTTGGGGGCGAGAAGCACTGATTTGCAGTACTGGGGGTTATGTAATTGAGCCTTTAGCCACTCCTATACTGGTTGTCCAGGGCATGGTTCTCTTCTCCATAGTGTTTAACATCTGCATAAAACTGTTAAATATTTCAGTTAAACATCCCCAGTCCAGGCCAGATAGGAGATGACATAGATGCTGTTACACAGTGTCTGGGTGGGGCAAAACAATTGAAATGGAACCACAACAAGGTTGAGTTATTTGTCCAGAAGCAATCCAATTTGGAGGAGGCCCTTACACTAACCCTGGACTGGTTTGCACTCTCCTTGAAAGAAAAGGCCCATGACTTGAGGACTCCTGGACTTACAGCTTCTGCTTTAGCTGGTAGTGGAGGGCATGGCCAGGAGAGCCTTTTCCCAGCTTTAGTTGGCGCACAAATTTTACTCTTTTGAAGAGAGAGGCACTGAGGCCCTCATTAGCTCGAGACTGCATTACTGCAATGCCCTTTACTTGGGGCTGTCTTTGAAGAATATCTGGAAACTGCAGCTAGCACAGAATGTAGCACTCTGCATGCTAGTGGGTTAGAGGCATTTCAACATGGCTACATCTATAAACTGCACAGAATGCTGGTCTCTTTCCTCAGGATGTTTAGAGAAGCCTGAGCTCAGTGGCAGCTTTCTATGAGGCAGCTGTCATTTTGAACAGTATATCCCCCCAGTTCAGATGGCCCGCCTAGAGTTTACAGGTACCAATGACGTGGCTGTTCCCCATCAGGCTTTTGGGCTTGAGGTGACTGTTATGTGCTGCTGATTTAAAGATGGGCTTTGTTTTAAATGATCATTTTTATATAATCTTTAAAGGTGCCATCCCAAGTCTGTGGAATCAGGCAGGATGTAAATTGTGTAATTAAATCAATAATAATAATAAATATTCAAATGTAGGATTTACCTTGTGTTCTTAAAGTACCAAAATCTAGCATTTCTGTTGATGAATAAATTCCTGGAGCTTTAAAAGAAGATAAACAAAATTAGCATTCTTCTCTGCCATAGAAAAGAAATTCATGGAACAAAATAAAAACTGTATCACAAACCTGTTGTAACTTCTACCTCTACTGGAAGAATAATGAACTCTGTACTATCCGAGGCATTTGTTTTTATTCGAATAAAGGCTGTGTAATTATCTGCTTCTCTTGAAGAAAAACTTGCTCTCATTACTCCTTTAGTTTCATAGGGGGGGATTTCCTATTGAACAGACAATACCGCAAAATTATAGTTAATACAACAAAAGGTCCAGAAATCCATTTAGTATAATATTGAATATTTTTTGTTCTGTTGATTATATATTTAATATAAACTCTGTTAGTGATTATTATCAACACTTTATATAAAAACCCATAGACACGCTTGCTAGTCATAACAATAAAGCATGAAGAGGTTTCAATTTGTGCTACTTTTCCACTACAAAAGACTTATCAGTACTTCCTCTTCTCTATGCATTCAACATTTCTGAAAACTGTACATCTCACTTACAGAAAAGAAAACAATAATTAATGATGATAAACTAGCAAGAATTCAATCACTGTGATAAAGATGAGACAGAAGACCTGTAGTATGCAGAAATTCTAAGTAGGTTAAAAGCATCTATATTTATGTAACAAATATTTTATGCTCTAACTGAAAAAGTCTTTTTAGGGAAAACGCCCCTGCCCCAGGGCAGGACACATGTTTGCACTTGCCTTAACCACATCCAATGTTGCACCTAGCTTACTTTATCCAACTGAAGAATAAAGGGTTGTCATTTATTTTTATAGAGGTCAATAACAGAAGTAACTGAAACAAAAAGCTTTGTCAACTCATCTTATCAATTATTACTGAAAAGTAGTTAATCAACAGTAAAAGTGGAAGTAAAAGAATCAGTGGTCATTTAGATATTTTTGCAAATGTGAAACACCAACCCCCCCCCAAAGACATACCATATAATAATATCAAAATGATATTACGATAGCAAAATCTTAGAGTAATTGATGTTTATCATTTTTGTCAATTCATTAAAAGTTGGGAGTGGACCACTGCTATTCCTATTCCTACAGGGTTTTTTCCATTAAGTGTTGGCATTTAATTCTATGTTAGAGTGGCACTTTCCTTTATACTACACTGATGGCCCCCTTAACATTACAAAAGGTAAAATCCAATGTCACTTAAGAGAACCATTCTGTCCCTTGCCTCCTTTTTTAAACATTTCCAGATCTGCTCTAGAGGATCCCATCAACAGAACAGAAGCTATCAGGGTAAAAGAAATCATCTGCTGCTGCTGCTTCTGTTAGGACTACTTTGGCACAGAAGTATTCCATTTCCAGGAATAACATCCATTCCTATTCTGAATGTATGCATATACAAGGCAGAAAAGAAAAAAAAGCTCCCTACACTCCGAGGATACCACTTCATCCATCTAATGAAGCTCCAATGCTTTGGTCCATAAAAGCTCATGCCACAATTAATTTTGTTTGTCTTCAAAAGTAGATATAACAGCAATGAACTATCACTCATATTACTCACCCATAGTTTTTTTGTTCCTCCTTGTTGGCCAGTTGGAAGCTCTAGATGAAGATCACCCCCACTTGAATACATTTCTACTACCTGTGAGGAAAGGCAAAAAAGAAAAATATAAAAAAGAAAAAAAAAGAAAAGTTGTTAAAAGCATTAATAAAACTTGAATCCAAGTTCAAACAAGATGTATCAAAATGGCTACATGCTTAGAGGACACCAATATTTATGACACACGATGTCTTTAAAAAATACCCAATTTTGAAGTGAGAAGTAATTACAGTCTTATATTTCCCTGTTATTGGGTGCTTAAGGATAAGAAATTTCAACAATTCACAATTAATAAGAGCCTTATTTGTCACATTTCCCCTCTAAACTGTCTAGAGAGAGTTCTAATCTTCTTAATCCAATACTGGATTCTCCTCTTGCTTTATTAGTTTCCAAGTTTAGCCCTTCAGGCACCAAGAAATCTTAAGTTCAAAAAGACAAAAGGGACCATGCAAATTTTGACACTGGGGTGCATTAGAAGGTCCTGTGGAGTCAAATGTTCGTAAAACCTGGTAGCCCTCTATCATATCATGCCAGGAAAAAATAGGCTAGCCACTGCATCTCATTGCTCACAGTGGGAGGGAATGCTCTTCAATCTTTTCTACTCTGCCAGCAAAGCCCTGGATTTGTCAGAGTACCCTGATGTCACTGGCATAGAGATAATATTCTAACCTGAACATAAAGTAAGAAATAGATAAGATCAAGGATTTCAAGAACTGCATGAAATAATTAATATATTAAAATATAATTCTTTAACAAATATCTGTAAATATGAAAGTGCTACTACTTGCCTGCAAAGGTTCACTATGGGGATTGTGTATGTTTATTATAGGAGAAAAACTGCTGTTCACAGGAACTTTTGCTCCTATAAAAGGGCGTAGTCTGTATGGGTTTGGTACTCCTACGCCAAACACCTGTTTAAGAAGAGAATAAAAAAATCAGTAATCAATATGCTCATTTTGTCTCTCCTAGATTTAAAATCCACACAATTCTCAGCACTAAAGAAACTCCTAACTTTTTCTGAACCTGAAGTTCATTGTCTAAGGTTTAAAGGCCTCAGCCAATACTTAATTTCCTAAGGATATAAAACTCCACTATGTAACTTTTTCTGCCTTTCACTTTCGGTAGAAATCAGTTTTAGGCTATGCTTGTCAAAATACAATTTTCTAATATAGTATAATGCAGTAATAGCAAAAATGTTTAATTTGTTGATATTTTCATATCTCCTGACTCCATAATTTAGAGTACTGAAGTTATTAAATTATTATGCACAAATATTTATTTATATAAATTGCATTGTAAGACTTTTTGGTCATTTCTTGCATGCACTGAAAAATATAATCTTGAAAAACCTACTGACATTCAAGTATCTTCCCCTTATATTTTTAATATCATGATTAAAATCAATTAGTACAACTGAATGTTCAACAATAATTCACTATACTACTTAAATCAAGTTTTTATATTGTTAAATGCCCAAAGTATGCAAAGTTCAGCGACATTTTGTAGGTGTTCTGTTGCATTGCATTACTGAGTATATTATAGCATAATCATTCCAGCCTTCCTTATCTAATGTGTTGAAGTTCAAATCCCAGGCAAAATAATTATTTGCTACACTGGCTGGGAATTTGTAGTCCAAAACATCTAGAAGTCAGTGTGTTGGAATGTTTTTTTCCCCCTCCCCTGAATAATTTTTATTTGAGAGAAGACTGACCATTAAGAAATCACAAATTGAAGTTTTCCAGTACAGTTCAATAGGAGGAACAGACAAAGAGGTGAGTGATCACAGTAGTCCTTTCCTCTAAGTGTTGTGTGTTCAGGTATAAAGGGAAAAAGTAATCTTCCCTCACAGTCTGAATATCTGCTGATTGCTCACTGGGAATGACTTAGTAATTGCATAAGAGGTACAGTACATAAAGCAGTAATTTTCCAGGGAACAAGCTCACTGAATGAGCAAACAGGAGCTTAACAATGCAGTTAGCAAGAGTATTTAAGGAGGAGTCCCTAACATTTTTTCCCTCTAAGACTCTGTTTCTGAGAGCCTAAGAAGTGAACAACAAAATCTTCTGTGGGTAGTGTATTAGAAATAAAAGTATACACGAATGGAAAACATTAATTTTAAGTAGCACTGCTTCTGATGTGTTTTCATTTCTACCCACAAACAATCTGGCATATACTTTCAGCAAGTACAAAATTGCAATAGTGCTTGAAGGAAAAGTCACAGGATGGGAGCAGTAAGTGGTTCCTTTAGTTCATAATATAAAATGAAGATTTATCCAATAAAAAATTAGAAAATTTATCCAATAAAGAAATGAGAAAAAATGAGACATTTCAAGAGGACTGAGAGAGGAATCAACTCTATCTAAAGAAGAAAATCAAACAAAGGAACAAGCTTCTGGACAAGAATGGCAACTAAAAACAAGACACTTGGGTGGGTGGGGGGAGCAATTTTCATAGCTTTCAAGCCCATGCAAAAGAAGCAGGCTTTGAGCTACAGGGGAAGAAAAAGAGATAACGCAGAACAGGATACAGTGGCAGATTCATGAAGAAGAGGGGCCTATAAAATGAATCCTCTATGACCTGGAGATGAAAACTCTGAAGTAAAATCCCAGATAAAGGCTTATATCTTGTATAGGATAGTGCAAAAATTGCTAAAATTGGGTATTGTTTTATTAAGAGATGTAAAACAAATAAGGGAGAACACCAGTTCAATGTTTATAGACTTTGTTGTCTATGCTCCAGTAATTTTCAAAGTATGGGAATAAGCAAGAGGAACTAGAACTCTTGCTCACACCTGCTGAGATGACTTCTGTGATTGTAATGAATAATACAATTTGTTCAAAAGGAACATAAGTAATAGTAAAGAAAAGGGACTTGCAATCTTAAAAGAATTTATTCCAGAGAGCATCTAGTTAAAATAAAGGGAGGAATGAATAAATCCAAACAGTTGTTGTCGTCTATCACTCACCTAAACAAGCAGAAGATATGCATGATGCTTTCCAAAAAAGAAATTGCAAATTTTTCAGAAAGGCATAAAGCAGTAGCGATGGAGGACTTTAATTATACTGTTATCTACAAGGAGGCAACACTGCCAAACCTCAGCTTTCCAAGAAATATATTCAGAGAGTGCATATCAATTTGTCCTTATAAGACTGGAGGGAGGTATCAAGTGGGATGCCACAATGTTCAATCCTGGGGCCTGTATTCTTCAATACTTTTATTAGTGACTTGGATGAAGAAATAAGAGAATGCATATTAAATCTACAGATAATAGATTCCTGAGTAATCCAGCCAATATCCTAAAATAAATTCAAAACAATCCTGATGGGCCCCAAGATGAGCTGAAAATAACAAAATTAAATTCAAGAGAAACAAATACAAAATTCTTCACTTGGGAAACAGAAATCAAATGCCCAGTATGAGGGATAATAGACATGAAAATAATTCTTATAAAAAAGACTGTAGAATAGTTAACAAACTGAAAAATTTGTTAAATATCATCACTGTGATGTGGCTGCAAAAGAAAAAAGAAAAAACTGGTCTGGGCCTGCATCAATGGAAATATAGTTTCTGAATCATGAGAAATAATTATTCTACTTTATTCTGCATTGGTCTATCCCCATTTTGAGTAGGGTGTTCAGTTCTGGGGACTGCACTTTAGGAAAGATTCAAAGTACAACAGGTCCACAAAGGGCAATGAGGGTAACATCCTTTAAAGACGAGTTGGATAGTGGAACCAATTCCCAGAAAGAAACCAGCTCCTATTCATCGGATGTATTCAAGAAGAAGCGGAGCAGCCACTTGTCAAAGTTGCTTTAATTTGGATTCTAGTATTGAGCAGATGGTTTGGATTCACTGACCAAAATGCCTGCTTCCAACACTATAATTCTATGAACAGGATTTCAAATAATCTAAACTGTCGCTAGTTTCAAACGAACAGTGTTATCTTTATGTATACTGTATTAGGAACCAATCTCACATTGTTCTGACGTATCATTGAATATGTAATTGTGTACTCTTACCTGGTAAGTAAATACCCCATGATTAGATGTGTTAATAAATAATGTATTTTCTACATTTCCCACAATTCTTGCAAGAAAAACTACATCAAATGATGTATTTCCTCCTGGGATAATTTTCTGGAAAAAAAAAAAGGCAGAAGATATGCCGTGGTATTGATCCAAGAAGCACAGTGTATCAAATATGCACAAGAAGAACTGATGTATGAAAGCTGTCTGTTAAAGTCCTAGGACTAGGATTGCAGAAATCCAGGTTCAGGTCCATCCTTAGTCATGGAAGCTCACTGGGTGACTTTGCGCCAATCACCTTCTCTCATCCCAATCTATCCCCCAGTGTTGCTGTGGAGAGAAACGGGAGGAGGAAGTGTGATGTACCTCACCTGAGCTCCTGAGGGAAAAAACCCAAACAACTGGAATATAAATCTAACAAATCAGTTAATTATTTATTTGTCCTTCCCAAGTTATCAGGGTTACAACTACAGTAGCAAAATAAAAGCTGAAGTCATTGCATTTTTTCTTTGCATAGATTAATTAATAAATTTGCAAGTGGTCATAGCTCTAAAACAAAAAACTGGGAGGCAGGAATGCAGCCCCTGGAGAAACTCATTTCTCATTTTCTGTTGAATTCTTCCTCATTGGAGGAATGATATAATCAACATATTTTAGTTATTGGGATTTTGTTTAAAGTACAGTTTGTTATGATGAAGTGAAAAGATTCCACAATAACAGCAACTTCATAAAGGAAAGCTGGCTCACCCTATTTTGAAAAAAAGAAGCATGAAAGTGTGACGTTGTTGCAGATATTGAAACTAATATAATAGTCTCTTCTGAACTGGGATTATGCAAGTAAACTTTTTCCATTTTTGGCATCCCAACCGGCCTGTATAAAAAGAAAGACCAGAAAAAGCATTTAGAATTGTTTATCTATTATCTTACCACAGAATGTTTATAGTTGCAGGTCATAAGGTATTTTGATACATCATGAAAAAAACATCTGGTGTACATGGTATCATTAAGAATTTCTATCTTACAGTAGAGTCTCACTTATCCGACATAAACAGGTTGGCAGAACGTCGGATAAGCGAAAATGTCAGATAACACACAGTAACGGTAAAAAAAAAAAAAAAAAAAACGATCCGCATACAATAACAAACTGCACTGAGCGATCATTAAGAAAGGCGAGACATGACCGACACATGAGTCATAGGCTAGACGCACGCGCCTGCTGCGCCTGTTGCAATCGATTTTTGCGTTGCGGTGCCGCACCGTCAGGAGCAAAAAGAGAGTACACTCACACTCGCAAACAAGCGGCACGCTTTTCTCGTCGCCGATTTATGCGTGTTGTTGTGTTTTTTTTAGGGGCGTCGGATAAGACGGAATGTCGGATAAGCGAAGGTCGGTTAAACGAGACTCTACTGTATTTGTTTCTGGAGGTGGTGCTTAATATTAAGTTAACAAAAAAAAAACGCAAATGGTGATGGCATTGTGCAAGCAGTATCTAACCCTTTGTCCTAAAGCAAACAACAAGTAGCATAATGCAGCCATAATGAACTTCAGGCATAGAGAATTACTAATGTTAACATATGCAAAGGAATAAAAATGAAGTTTCTACAGGAGGTATAAGCTTTATGTAAAGGGAATTATATCACTAAATGAATACCTAAGCTATTATTCCATAATAATCTTAGCTAATCACTATGCTAATTCTACAATAGCGAGTTGCTGCAATAAGCAAATAAGATGTTTTTATTTATGATTATATTAGGGACTATAAATCATATTTATAAAATTATTTGCATGCTGTTTTGAAGTTTCAGTTGAGAATGGAGTTAATTAATATTCCAACTAAATATTCTTTCTTCTATTAGTAATTAAAAGAGTGAGCCCACATACTGCCTCTAAAGTATTGATGCATTTTTTTCTTCTGAAGAAATGCAGCGCTATGATTACAATTCTCAAAGACATGTCTCTAGGTCTTGGAAACTGTCAGCCCTTCAAGGTAGGCCAAGTCAGAAAACAGACTCCAAAAGTAATACTACAACTCTCCCTTACTGATGTAGGCTATCATAACAGAATCTTGAAAGCCATTTGACAGCATTTCCCCTTCTTCCTTCTTATGCTCAAGGTGGAACTAGTTTGAGTTTTAATGTTTTCTTCCTATCCTGGGTTTAAATCATGTTTTGCTAACTAGAATCACATAGTATCTCCAAGGTCATCTCTGGTTCTTTATACAAACTAAAAGCAGAAGAGTGAACAATGCTTCTTCTGTAGTAAGAAAAATAGTGTAGGACTTTTCTGCTGATGAATTCATCCACATGGTTAACTAAATTAATATTCAACAGCCATTCACAGTTTGACTATGATACAATCTTGTTTTCAAGCAATTGTGATGAACACCCACACTGAAATAACAAACCTGTTTTGCCAACAAATCAAGAAATAACACTATTATTTCCAAGCTTATTCACATCTATCAGAACTAGTAAGTATCAAAAGGCACTACTCCACAGATAACTGGATGTGAGACTTCAGAAGTTGAGCTTGTCGCTGGTATTCAGCTTCCCCTGTTACATAGCAGCATCCCTGCCAATGCGACTCAATCTAATTACTGTGATGGTGGTGGAGTTCCCCAAACTGGTGGTGGTGGTGAATTTCAACCTGCCAAACTTGGGCAAGAGTTCATGGCTGCCATGATAAATAGACCTGACCAACTAATCAAAAGCCATATGAGGTCAAATGTTAGATCTGTTTTTTTGCCTAAGGGCAGACAAAAGTATGGAACATTGAACTTAGCCCTTGTTATGAACAGATCATTCTCTGATTGCTATGAGTCACCTCCCACTTGGATTACTGTAATGTGCTCTAGATGGAGATAACCTTGGAAAGCATTCAGAAGCTACAGCTTGTACAAAACACAGTAGCCTGGCAAATGAGGGTTTACCTACTGCTTTGGGAGCTGCAATGATTGCCACTAGGCTTCTGGATCTGATTCAAGGTGACTGCCACCTTTAAAGTCCTACATAGCTCTGGACTGGGTTATCTGGGGGACTGTCTTCTCCATCATCCATCTAATGCTGGAGCCTACTTAATCAGGTTGAATAGGTCAATTCCCTTCAGGTCCATACAAGAATGACATTTGCCATAGGCATCAGAATTGTTATTCCCATACTCTGAAATTCTTTCCCCACAGAAATCCAATCTGCTCCTTCCCTTCTGGATCTCAGAAGAGCAGTTATGACTGATTTCATCAAGTGCACGAGGAGAGCATGGTGTGATTAAATATTTGAACTTGGCAGATGCATGCTTTTGTACATTGTGTGTGTACATATATATTTTGATACTGTATTTGGTTTATTTTATGGATTTATTGTTTTAGAAGTTTTTTCCTGCTAAGTGATGTTGCCCAGAGCCTTCCAGAATTGGATGGTATACAAATAAAGTAGCTATATAAATAAACAACACCAATGTACCAGAGCATTGTATAATCCAACTCTCTCCTCATGAGATTCCTTATCTAATTAGGGCTCTCACTGGTGCATCTGAGTTGTTACTACAGAAGCATCTCACATTCAGAAACCCCAAGTTGCTACCTGCACACTGCTTTTAGAGCAACTGACCCAAAGCAAAATATCCTGCATATATATATATAATATGAAAAGAAATTCACTTTGCAGAAGCATAAGGACTTTTCTTACCCAAGCATTATGAACCAGAAAATACTATAAACATGTGTAAGTGAATAAGCTATACAACTGGAGAATGAGGGCAGTCATATGCTTGTGACAAATGCACAGAAATATTTAATATTAGGGAAGAAAAGAGTCTTGAATCTTTATCTGTCTGACTTGATGCACTTAGACAGAAGCCTTATTCTAAAAGCAACAGTTCTTTTAAATACTTATACTGATTTTTTCAAGTATTTCTTAACTTATTTCAATTCTTTAACAGCTCAGCACAGTACTCACACCTTGTCTACTTTCCTATCAAGAAAAACTCACAAAACAGAATCCATAACTCCATCACAAATTTCAGAATATAGCTGTGTTTCAATTATACTTGTGTTTAAAAATACAATTGTGAATTGTGAAGAATGAAAAATGAAAGACACATGAAACTCTTCTCATTTTATATCTGTGCTACACACTTGCACACGACTGTCTACACACCATAAACTTAGGGACTCAAGACCTAGAATGAAGGATGCCAAATCCATACATGAACTGTCTTCTTTTAGTTTAAGAGCTGCCAGATTACTGCAGGACAGACAGCTCTATGAAGATCTTTCTCTTTTAATTACAGAAGATATCTCTAGTCAGTCTTATGCTCCTAGCTATAGTGTTCATTGATGATAAAACAGAACATGGGAAAGATGGGGAAGATAAAAGGAACAGAAGCCATTAAGCAACTGGGGAGACAATCATCTCCTAAAATATTAATTCAAGGGGGGCAAGAGTCAAAGTTTCTCATCCATCAGTTTGGTACAGCCTGCATCTGGAAATCTGGATGATGCTCACCCTGGTGTTTAGAAGAGCAGTGAAAAAGAGCTTTCACCTAGCATAAATAATGCTAGGATTTCAAATACTGAGGGAGGGTTTGTTTGTTTGTTTGTTTATTTATTTATTGGATTTCTCCCCCGCCCATCTCCCCCACAATAGGGGACTCTGGGTGACTTATCTGGATGATGCTCACCCTGGTGTTTAGAAGAGCAGTGAAAAAGAGCTTTCACCTAGCATAAATAATGCTAGGATTTCAAATACTGAGGGAGGGTTTGTTTGTTTGTTTGTTTATTTATTTATTGGATTTCTCCCCCGCCCATCTCCCCCACAATAGGGGACTCTGGGTGACTTATGAAATACATTAAAAACTATAAATATATCTAAAACACAAATACATCCAGCATTAAAACAATACTAAAAAAGGAAAATCCAAGAAGATGGAAAATCAGGATGCGGACAGCTGGCCACTATGGGGCTAGCCATCCCCCTGCTTGAAGTATTCCCTCCCCACCCCAGGTCAAGTGGCAGAACCAGGTCTTCAAGGCCTTTCAGAAGGCCAGAAGTGAGGGGGCCAATCGCACCTCCGGGGGCAGAATGTTCCAAACAGCAGGGGCTATTGCAGAGAAGGCCTGCCTTCTGGACCCCGCTAATCGGAGTTCTTTTACTGAGGGGGTCCGAAGCATGCCCTCTCTGTGTGATCGGGTGGGATGGGTTGAAGACATAGGGGAGAGGCGGTCCCTTTGGGAACCTGGCCCCATGCCATGTAGGGCGTTAAAGGGAATAACCAACACCTTGAATTGGACCCGGAAGCAAACTGGTACCCAATGCAGCTCGCGGAGCGACGGTGTTACATGGGCCCTTCTTGGGGTTCTAAAAATAGCCTGCGCGGCCGCATTCTGGACAGCTGTAGCTTCCGGATACTGTTCAAGGGTAGCCCTGTGTAGAACGCATTGTAGTAGTCTATCTAGTTGATATACATTTTAAATGGTTTAAGTATATACTTAATTGTTTGGGAAAATGTAAACTGCTGGGACTCCATGTGGAGGCTGAGGTATGTACATAATAATAAGTAAGTAAAATATCTGCTATACAGGTAGTCCTCACTTACCGACCGCAACAGGGACTGGCAACTTTAATCACCACAGGTCATTAAGTGCGACTTCACATGACCACGGCTTGCGATTTCCTGCCAGCTTCCCCACTGAATTTGCTTGTCAGAAGCCAGCTGTGAAGGTTGCAAATGGTGATCATGTGACTGCGGGACACTTGACTGTCGTAAATATGAACCGACTGCCAAGAGCCTGAATTGCAATCTCATGACCGCAGGGATGCTACGATGGCTGCAACTTTGAGGACCAGTTGTAAGTCTAATTTTTCAGCACCGTCGTAACTTTGAACGATTGCTGAATGAGTGGTCGGTAAGTGAGGACTATGTGTATTAGGATAAGCATGTTATTGCCATGCCAAAGTATTGAAATGTAAAATTTCCTAGTTATCATTACATCTGATATTTAAGCTGTGGACATTTTGCATTAAAGGCCAGGTACCAAAACCTGGTTTATATTACTAGCAGAATTACATCCTAGCTTTAATAAACATAGTGTGTACTTAACCTATAGTCTAAAATAACACCATCCACAGAGCTGTACTAATTTATTCTACTAGAGGGATATGCAAAAAGTCCCTTGCTTGGTACAGCCACTCCAACAAGTTTGCATCACAATAGGGCATTTGCTTCCAAGTCTCAAGTGTCCTGACATCCCATGATTGCCTTGTTTTCTTTCTTTTTTTAATTCCTCTAAGCTTGGAGACTTGAAGTTCATTGCCAAAAACACAGATTGCAGTTTCCATTCTAGCTGCCACTGACTGAAGTAGTTGCAGGGACATAGGAAAGTATGGATGAGGACTTATTCAAATGTATTGTCGAAGGCTTTCACGGCCGGCATACGATGACTGGTGTGGGTCTTCCGGGCTGTGTGGCCGTGTTCTGGAAGTTTTGTTTCCTAACGTTTCGCCAGCACCTGTGACCGGCATCTTCAGAGTGCAGAGTGCAGGAGCACAGACAGGAGCAGTTCTCTGGGCACCCAGGATGAGGTGACCCTGTGACCCACAGAGATCTGAGGGGGGGGATGGGGGTGTGTGGTGGGGCGGTTAGGGGGGGTGCTGGCGAAAC